AGAGTATTTACAATAAAATCACTACCAAGAGAAAGCTTTGTACGCTTATTAAATAAACTTTTATTATAGAACATAATGTTTTATTGTAAAAAGTAAATAATCTACCTCTTTGATATTAAAAAAAGTTATGAGATTTTGAATCTGAATTAAACGAAATTTTATTGTTTATACATTTTGTAAACCTACGAATGTAATTATTGAATGTAAAAAGTAGTATGTTATATCATTGGTAGATGGCGTTGCTAGTATCTTGTACCCACCATATATATGCATACAAAATGAATAATTGAGTTTTTTAATGAATCGTACGTTTTAATTTGTAAATGATTACTTGGACACTTTTTTATGCTATCAATAAAAACTTATATTAAACACTGTATTAATTCCTCGCTAAGAAATGAGATATAAAAACCTTGTCGCGTAACAATCTCCCATGTCCGACTATATCGACCATATACTACTGCAGACTGTACGGTCATAAGTAGACTTTACTACTTGACTGACTATAATTTGCAGTTTAGATGCAAAACATTGCCGATTTATCATTTTAAATACAAATAGAGCTTCGGGAATATTTTTATACGTACTACATAGAACATTATAGTCACTGGTACCGGAATTCAATGAAACTGTTACATAATTTTGAGAGTTCTTATTTAACGAAAACAACTAAAATATTGTAGCATACCATTACCAAAATTATAAAAAAACGATAATTCAAAATTTCATACAATTTTTTTAACTGATAAATTTGAACAAAAGACATCTAAATAAAATTTCTAAGCCGTACGAATAAATCAGGCAAAATTTAAATCTTCAACCCCTATATTTCAACTGTCTCAATGTTAGCTTATTTCCGAACAGTTATTTTAACTGTAAAATTAGTAACAAATGAAATATAATTTTTTCCCCTGTAAGTCAAGTAAAATAATCGAAGGGAAACAATAATGAAAAATTAAGATACCTTGATAACGAAAATTTGCTCCGGTACTGGCGGGGTACGGTGGTGAACGGTGGCGGGTGGACGTAAAGCGCATGGAAAAACCAGAGGGGGCAGATCTGCCGCATAGCCGACGGAAACCCGTCTGATCCTCATCAGACGCGACGCGTCCGCGATCACGTACGGTGCACCACGCGAGAAACCAGAAGGTTCGTACACGTTCGTTCAGTCATTTCGGACGTGAGAATTCAAAAGGAGAGAAAAAGAGATCTGTCGTCGATCGAGAGCACACTGCCATCGTGAATTTTCTTCACAAATTCCCGAATTATTTTCTGTCATTGTTCGATTCCCGAGGTGGGTCTACAGTTACAGAAATCGACTAGCAGACTAATCGGAATTGCCGCGTACAAATTTTCCATGCAGCGAGGGTGTAGGCAACACGTCCGAAGTGACTGACTGCAACGTGATTGGCTAAAACACATGGTCCGGTGATCGTGATCATGATTGGAAATCGTCTCGCGCCGATCGTCACCCTTATCCTCGTGGTTCTGCTGTCGGCTATTCATCGCGGTGAGTAAAGTCTTTCGCGCCCTTATATACATCTTTTAATTTTCAATTTATTCACTTAGCGTTTCTAATTAATCGGCAGAATACGTAGAATTTGGTATGAACGAATTCACGATCGCTTAACTAGCATAAAGAAGTATCGTGCAAGATAACAAATCTTTGTTCTACTTTAGCGACCTAGTTTCTGATCGAACCGCTGAATTACCGATCGATCTATGAGAATTGCTAGTTTTCTATAGTCATTTTTCTATCAACCCAACGCACGCAAACGTGCATGCTTGAAAAATGTGAATGCCCATTAGTGTCGGGTGTCGATTATCTTCGAGATATTTCCATGAAATATGATGTTCCTTTATGATAAAGCGAAACAGGACAATTTCAGTGGCAAATCGAATACTTCCCTTTCAATAATGTTCCGTGAATCCTGAGTTACCAACGATTCTGTTACTTCTTTGCAAGGATGAGTCAATCCAGTAGGAATCCACATCATCGATCATGAATTTGCAGAACAATCGAACGAGATGGGACTTTTAAAAGAGCCGCGCACATCGCAGCGCAATGCGGTACCCAGAGAAAAAGCAGCTGCATCCATGAGTCCGATTCGATGCACCATTTACTTTCGCATGCGTTTCATGCGCTAAAGACGAATCCTTCGCGCGTGGAATCGTTAAACAGCAAGCTGAATCTCGTTCCCGGAAGGAGAAGTCGCTCGAACCAGGAAAAATGCGCCGAAACAGTGACGATATTGATTTCATGTTACATAAAGGTACAATCGAGTTTCTCATCGGCTGCACTCCTTGCAACTTTTTAGTCACGTCTTCTTTATCGACTCGCGATGCTATCAAGTCGCCCAATCGTATCGACGCAACTATCAAAGTTCGATACTTTGGTCTTCTTGTTATAGATCGATACCGTGATAGGTTATGTCATGAGTAGGTGGAACTCTACCGGGTAGGTGGAATTATCGCAAATGAGGGCAATTAGCAATGTAGCAAGATAGTGCGTTGGTTCCCGTTCCTTTAGAGGATTACGGTGTTCCAGATGTTCGTTAGGGAACTCGTACAACTCATAGCACTTGTAGTACTTCCCCGGCGCTTGCTTGGAACCTAGTGTACTCAATTTCTAAATTGAATCTCATTAGAAAAGTAAATCGTGCGGAAAGGAAACGGGTCACCGGAAGTCGGAGACACGATTCCATTGCGCGGGAAGAAGAAACGGTCAGATTCCAGAGCGCGGAGACTCACTTGACAGGAAGGCGTATTAAAATCACGCGGAAACCTTGAGAATGCATGCTCAATGACCTAAACTAATCGTTTTTCCCGGAAAAACCTAATCTTCCATTCTTCGCGTTAATTTAATATGGTAGTGCAGAAAAACGTCAAACTATGTAGAAACGTTTCGATTTAGTTCGTAAACTGGATATATTTCCAGGAACGATTGAAATAATTATCGTTTGGTGATCGTCCTATTACGGTAACTTTCAAGAAAACTTTACAGCGTTGCGTCAGTACAAATGTATCGACTTTTCGTAACAGTCTCTTTCCAAAGTACGCAATCGATATAGCATAATTACAATTTTCGTAATCGTAGAAACGACGCAAAAACATTTTACATAACGAAGAGAAAAATATTAAGAACAAAAACGCTTCGTTATAGACAATTCAACGTAGATAGAACGTTCGCGATCAATTGTATCTGCAAAGGCATAGAAAGCATTTGAGAATTGTCAATCGTATCTTCGTGAAAATTTGCGAGGAAACAATAAAAGTGAGAACTCGGATGTGACGTAAGCGATGCGTTGTTGCGTGCAGTTCGCTTGAATCGTTTGGGGATGACCTTAAAGAAACGATTCCGTAACTGGTAGAACTTAAAGCCACCATCGTTGAATTCAATTGAATCAGCATCAAGCTGAAAATAGATACAAAAACATCTAAGCTTCAACTGGGATGATTATCTTGTTTTCTCATGAAAAAGATCACTATTGGTTTGGTGCAATTTGTTGAAATTTAGAATTTTGGTTCATAGAACCGGGCCCCCGCGAGGGTTATCGAGCGACCCACTTTCTCCCCTCCCTCCCGCTGCATTCTCTCACACTCTCCTTCTCCGAATTCTATTCTCCCTGCACCGCGTGGTACCGTGACCAAGGGGACGTTTCTCACGTTAACCTTGCCTTATTGACGAATTTTTTATAAAATTTGCATTGTCGCGTCGTGTCTGTGCAAACTGTATACTGTTGTGCGCCGTTTATCCTCTTTAACGAGCAGGACAACATCGACTGGAGCAAAGCCTGGCAATTAGCTACACAGGAACAATTGAATGCTTTTGCTTGAAATGCTCGTGTGCCTTTATTAAATATTCATTAACGATTCAATTGACCAAGCTTTGTACCTACAAACATTCAGAAATACAGACATCCAATTATTCTAACTAGAACAATAATAAACATCCAACGAACAATTCTGACAACGACACAAAAAACGTTTTACCATAATTGAAGCAACGGAAAAATCCTTCCCTTGGAATATGCATTAGCTATATTGAACGGTAGATTGCTGAAACCTCTAATCGCAAAAGGAATCCTTGTTCCCATCAACGTTCTTTCCCATTCTATCTTATCGGGGAGGTTTTCACGGGACCAAGGAACAACCCGACGGGGATGGGCCCCTTCGTTTCAGTTCCTGTCGATTACATAAGGACCTGCAATGTCACGCAACGCTTGTTGGTTCCTCACGCGACTCACCCCTACCGTCTACCCCAGTCGCCCTGCCCTATTTACTGCTGATCGAACGTCTCGTGTGGTTTCAAATGTCGTTGAAGAACTTCCCGTGCACCCACACTCTTGATCAATGTTTTCACACCTCGTACGTACAGTGGTCGAAGCAATACAAAGAATCCTCCGATCTGTCGGCAACGGCTACGCTTCGTCTTGTCCCCTTTAATCGAACCGCCAAGGGATTGCCTTCTTGTGACCAGGATGCAATCGACCGTGGCCATTAAGCTAATTTCATGCTTGGACGAATCTCGGTGGCTCTATGAAATTTTATGAAAAATTATTTGACCTTTTTGTTCAACGAAAGAGAATTTAATAAAATGTTAATTATAGAGTACGGACCTTTACTAGATCACTTTTCTGGTTAATAACAATTTGTTAGAGAATTTTGGTCCTTTTTTTGACGTGAAACCTTGTGTCGAAAGCTTTTACAGCGTCGCGCTGTAGTCAACGAAACGCCCTGCAGAATATTCCCAAGGTCAGGGTGCCGAGCCGTCTCATCTATATTTTCGTGCGCGCTCGGGGTGAATTCAGCGAATCGAAGCGGCGAAGCAAACGAATAGTGTCTTTTGTTGTCATTCATTGAGACACTATGTTTTAGTTTTAAAAAATAAGTTGCTAAAATTTTCACCTGAAAATTGACAATGCAGATAAAGATGCAATTTGCATATTATTTGCTGGGAATTTCGTGAAATCCGCATGTTCCATCGATGGACCTATTTTTCTATGAGTGTATCAGTAGGTCAACGCGCGCATTGGTCGGGGTCTTCCTGCTCGATATCAGCTGGTGCTGTAACCGGACTCGTTGGGAGGGTGAATGGGGTTGCGTTGTGACGTCACAACGCGGCAGGACCGTAGCCAATCACCGGCACTTTGTCCGACCAACCATGAAACGACTCTCGAATTTCAAATAAAACGAATGCCCCTAAAACAAATGAAATTTCTATTCACTGTTTAATAGAATCACCTGTCAAGCGTAATAAATTAAATACATCAACACGAAATCTATTAAATATCGATAAATTCCTTCTCTATTTCGTTCGATGAATTTTCTGAACAGTTTTATATAGGTTAGGAACAGCTATCGACAATGTTGCAGCTGTTTATCTACGTGTAGAAACTGTTAACACTAACAAAATTAATTGCACACGTGTACAGTAACAAGTATACCTGCACATTAGTGGCCCAGTTTTCAGTAAACTGTAGCACGCGATAAGGGTAGTGTGCAAGGATCCGCGACTTATAATATGGATTCAGCGGTTCTTCTAAGTTCTGACCTACCCTATTCTAATCAATAGAATAGCCTGGTGTTTCAGTGTTTCGTGATGCTCGTGATACAAATTCAGTCGTTACAAACCGTACAACTGACTGTTCCCTCTAATATCTTGCTCTTTGTGTCCACTATTTTAAGATTAAATGTACTTTTGTATAAATCCACTTTACTAATTACGTTATAATCGTTTTCTAGGTGAAGGAATAATATGCTACCAATGCAACAGCGAATACGATCCAAGGTGCGGCGATCCATTCGATCCGTACACTCTTGGAACCGTAAACTGCAGTTTTCAACCGCGTTTGGAACATCTGAGCCACCTAGAGCCCACTCTCTGTCGAAAGATCAGCCAAAAAGGTACAACCGATAAAACAAACTATGTACTCTGTGCATGATATCGCATCGATAAACTCACTCTACGAGATTAATTCTGCGTGAAATATCACCAAACTGTTCGTACGTTACGCAACAAACCGTTGAGATTCAAATTGTTGTGTTGTTACTCGTTATCGAGCAAAGATAAACAGTTATCTGCATTGCGGCATCCCCGAGGTCTGAAAGCCTCTGAACTTTAGCACTGAAGTAGAAAAAGTACGCATGGAGTATCCCCTTCGAACTTTCTGTACCGTTGTGCAGAATACACGCGAGGCCAAGCGCAATTTTCTCAAATACCGCTTACATAATTTTTTCGCGAGCTCCACCACCTCTCCTCCAGAAGTGCGCGCGCTTGGTCCACGTTAAACGGTGCCATCTATACTCCTAACGTAAGACTGTTCTCAAGTACAAGGATAAATTTTCAGTTTTATTTTTTTTTTTCATGGAATACATAGATCTAGTAGATTCAGGAACAAAATCACGACACGATGGAAAATCAAGATCGTAAAGTAATTTCGATTCACTTTATCGCTTTTAACACGTTCCGTACCGTATGTACCATCGGTAGCACACGATAATCTCTAGAAATGGAACTCTTATAAAGTGAAAGAGATGAAATTTTTGATTCGTAACCAGTGATTAACCAAAAAAAAAGCTCTGTAACTTTCTACTAATTTTGTTTCAAAGTTCTTGTAATTTTCCCGCGCTATGGAACGTATTAATTTCGATACAAGTTAATCGTTTCGCGGCCAGGTGTCGTCTTTGTTCGAAAAGCTTTTAAAAGAGCCGTTGTAACGCTGTTGTGACTTTTAATAAATTTCCAGTGTACGGGAAGATCAGGGTTGTCAGAAGTTGCGGATACATTACGGACGAGAAAGAGAATGCGGAATGCCTGAAGAGGACAGGCACTCACGAGGTTCAAGCGTTGTACTGCTCATGCACCGGTGATCTCTGCAACTCGGCCGAAAGCCGCACGCCGTCCTTCTTACTGCCGTTGACGTCCCTGTTGGCGGTCGTCCTGGCGGTGCCGAGTTTGCTTTTCTCGTGCCCGTTCGCAATGCCCGTCTTTTCCTCGCCACACTTCTCCATAGCCTAAACCCCTTCAGCCGCCAGCGGATAACACTTTAAAACGCCTAAACCGAATCAACGATTCAATTAGAGAACACCGTTCGGGCCCGGTGCAACTCGTTTTCGTCCGATTTCCGGCTCGTTCGCGATCGTGGTGACTCGCATACAGATTAAATCCGCGATCGATCTCTCACCTCAATGGACATTTGAACACTAGTGGTTTTCTGGTTTTGGATTTGCGTCGATTACTCGATTGAATTGGAAGAAAAAGTTCGATTCTACGTTGTATTTTCGAAAGCACGTTAAATTTTCTTGTTTTTCTGTGAACTACATGTATATGTTGCATAACTAACGCGCAGATGTTTCTAACGAAATGAGTTACGGGAACCGAAGTTGTTAACGAGTTGACCATGATTAACGGCTACTGTCACTGGTTATTTTTAAAAAAAGAAGACGCTCGATCGCGAGTGCAATTCATAGAGATAAAACTGTTCCGGGATTCGAACAATTCGCAAACGTAGTCAAATTACAAGATAGTAGTTTTAACGGTGATACAAACTGCCAGATACGCGAGGGCGTACTTCAGTAGTACACTTGGAGAGGAATAAACAAAAAGAAAAAGGGAAGACAGAAGACACACACACGGCCTCCGCGCGTGAAACCACTCAGCGTCTCTCGCATAAGCGTAGAAATTAAAAAAAAAGAGCAAAATAATTACAATATCTGCGAGAGAAAATAAATCTCAAAGAATACATATATATAAATATAAAGTAGCGGCATCGCGATACGTTCGCACTTTGTACGCTACTGTTGAACAAATGAAACAAAAAAAATATACATATATATATTTTATTGGAAGGAAGCAGAAATGGAATTGCACGCAAGAAGGATATTACAGCTTATTTTTAGAGATGTAACATTGGGTTGCTCTCGTGAATGCTCGATATCGTATAAAAAAAATTTTAAAGTCATTATTTACGCGGGAAAAAATCGGACACACATATCGTCGATGAGTAATATATTTTGCAACTTCGCTAAAACGAAGATAAAACAATAAATGGATCTCGCATTACGATCGCGACCCGTGTTCCGCTAATTTTTGCAATAAAATGCTGTGTAAACCGATAGATGGTAGCGGAGACTCGGGAAAAAAAAATGGAAAGAAAGAGAAATATACCGGTTGATGTGTGCATGTGTGAGTGTATGGCGAGTCTCGTTCGTACGTGTGTGCGCGCGGCTACGTGAATATGTGCGTGTATACGTGTGCGCGAGTCGAAAAAACGCTGAAAAATTATTACGAAATTAATTAGTTCGATTTACGAAGTGGAATGTGTTGCTACTTCTTCAACCATAGCCGACTAATGAACAAACCGTAACCAAAAAAAAAAAGCATGAACAAAGAAAACCAAAAAAAGTAACACAAGAAAAAAATACTACAAGAGTCGTAAACGAAACCGTAACGAAGATGTAGAAAATAAATCGTCGATGGAGAAAGTAGAGGGTAAAGTAGAACGCTTATTGAAACAAACAAACAAGAGAAATATGAAAAAAATAATAAACGAACACATGTCTCACCGCAGTACCTAATTAATCGCCGCTGCCGCTGTTGTCACCGTGTCATGTCGTCACCATCGTTACACTATTATTACGATTGCTAAATACTACTTACTATGACTACTAACTGCTGCTACTACTACTACTACTACTAATGTTACTAAACTAATCGACATCATCGTCATCGTTGTTATTATTATTATTATTATGTTATCGTTTTTATTGATTATTCTTATTCTTGTTCTTATCGGGTAAATGGTAAAAACAAAATATGGACGATCTCAATAGAAAGGACGATGAAACGATGGCGAACGTTTTGACACCTACATATAGAGGCGGGATAGTGACCGGAAACAATAGGAATGGACACCAAGTAAACAAGCTTAATGTGTTTGATCACGGTATTAAATTTCGGTTCACTTTGGTCTGCGGATGAGTATATATGTAAGGAAACAGAGCTTGGAATCGTTAAATAAAAATTGACTCGTATTCTTTTGATACACATCCCAGTTGACAGTTGCATACACGTCGCAGCTTGTTTCAAAACAATGATTTTCACAGGAGGGCAAATAGTTCCAGTATACACAACCGCTGGATTTTGCTTCTTGTTCTCCACACCCGATGTAGAGACGAAAATTACATGTCTCCGTTGAAATCGAATACCAGGAGCAACGGTTAGGGAAAAAAGAGCGAGACAGACTGTTAGACAAAGACAAAAAGGAAGAGATAAATATAGATGAAAATATATATTTCGTTATGTTCCGCTCAATCCTATAGTTTAGTCAATCAACTGGTAGTTTTAGAGAGATTGAAAAAGTCCAATATATCTTAAAGATGCCTAGTGACATTTTTTTGGCTCCATTTTCTTATTTTCGCTTAAGATTCGAAGTGTGACGTAAAAGCATATAATTACATAGATGTTCGTCTGTACGTAATGTTTAAATCGATTCGAGAGTTCGATTCGAGAGATTAGAACTTTGACTCGAATTACTCTAACTTCTTAGTGCATTACGCGCATATGACATACATACAATAAAATTAGTCTACTCGGAGAAAAGAACGGCGATATTCACAATAAACAAACAAACAAACAAACAAACAAACAAACAAAGTACACACGATTATTGCAATATGTAGGCGAGCGTCAGTGAACCTCTTTGTCGCTATCCTTCCTTAAATGTATCGATACCCGAATGTATCGTGATCCATGATGGCCATAGAAACTGTGACGTCTATGAAAAATAAAAATGAACATTAATGACACCTTATCTTTCTCAATGTTCTCTTTCCTTTTAGCGTATCTACGTTGCAAAATATTTCACTTCACACGGAGCGGAATGTAACGAAACTATTTCTCTGGGTAATTATTTGCAAAATGCGAAATCAATTTCATACATATCATCCGCCTATAATCACCAGTCATACTTCAATGAAATGAAACCACTGGCAACACTGCCCCGTACTCAAGCATATCGAAATAGAGGGAAAGAAAGAAGAGAAAGATAGAACAGGGAAAATATATTCAAATGGTACCATCAGTTTATATATTTTGCGTCACGATATAGACACGTTTAATTAACGAAATATGCCAAGTATCAAGAGAGTGTTTATGTCAAATTCGTTCGATTTTATTGTAATGTTTATTGTCGTATTCTATTAAATGTTGCATTGTACACATCAATCACTATGTACAGAGAATATTCTGCCAATAAAGTGTTGAATGGTTACCAAAAAAAAGCAAAGAGAGTGAATCAAAATTATACTTCGTATTTTGGAAACCTTGCAAGTTAATTAGTTCATTATTTACCGATTTTGATGTTAATTGACGTAAATAAATGGTTTTCTTTTTCGCAATGTTTCATTAACTCACATGACCTTCGTTTATAATTAATCTAGTAGGTAACGGAAGTGTTTCATCGCGCGATAAATCACGAACATTCATATGTTGAACATCCTCAAAACTCGTCAACTTAACATTAACGGTCGTAAGCTTGAATGGTATCGTAAAGGTAAGGAATAAATCAGAATGCTAAAAATGCTTCATAGAATGCATTATATTTCTCTCAATCTAGAGAAGTTAATTTGAAGTTAATAACGCCTGTTAAATGTAGAAAAATCTTAATGGTTAGGATAAGTAGTTTCTTATGTAACAACTCCATTACACAATTGAAGGAACGTTAATTACGTGTCGTTTAAGTCAAAAACATTGTATGCAGTAAACGTTTTCCAAAAATTAAAAATTCTGTATAAAAGTATTGCATTTAACAATAAAAAAATATCTGCACAATGTTCGCATGTAACATTAATTTTTTTTCCACTGATATTCACAAGGCACGAAGGTCGACGTTTCGATGATTGGCCGGAAGACACTCGATCAGCGTGTCTATGAATTCACTTGCACAATTATATTGTTTCTTGATACGAATGTATAAAGTCATCAGTCGAAGGATTGATCTACATTGTTACTAGCATGATTGCGATACATAAATATGTAAATGCGTAAACGACAGTGTGAAAGCAAATGGCTTTAATACTGTGGTATTTCATGTGACACACATTAGTATTTCTTTTTTTTTGGAAAATTGTTTGGAATAATATATGTTAACATAATATCTATAAATTATAAATGTGACTTTATGTTAGAAAAAATAAGTATCTGGATTATGGTGTTCAAAGAAGTACTAACAAAAACGAAATTTTCCTCGTACTAATGTCGTGATTCCGTTTAGTCGACTAGAAGCTCTTGAGTTTATAAAAGTGTTTAATCAGAAATTGGCATATCCACAATGTAAACGTTACGTGAGTAAGTGACAAAATTTACATTAAAAATTCTATTATCCGAAGCACTTAGTCGTACTCAAGCATTATAAAGTCGAACCGCCGGATTATTATCTGAGGTAAGCGTATATGGTCAGGCTCAGTTCGAATGTTTAAAAAATGGTGAATGTTCAGGATGCTAAGTATCTGAGAATATAACTATATCTGCTGATTTTTCCTCTTCCGTTGATACGAATGGAGTGACTACTTGCATGTTGACCGATATATACAAAGGATAAGTGAGTTGTTTATCCAAAGACATCACCTGTTTCTACAATGTACAATAGACTTTTTAGTAAAGTTCAACATTTTTTTAAATTATAAAAGAATCTACAAATATTACTTACTTCTTCGTTCTTGTGAAGTGACAACCTACGCATACCCGAACTCTGAATGTGTTTTACTTGACGTTGTTCGTCCAATGAAATTAGACTTACTCTGTAAAAATATTTTGTATTTATTTCGTGCAAATCTTTTTCTAAAAATAGAGAACTTAAAAAAAATAGTTACTTTAAAATTATATTGTGCGTGCTATGATTAGCTTTAATATGGTCTGTGTCTGGTCTGTCATTTCTCTTAATCCTCAAAGTTGTACTATCCAAGCACACCACCAAATCTAATCCAAAATGAAATGCTGTCCATCGCCAAATATGCTCACCAACTTTTTCAATACACCTTCCGCAGCGAAAACACTCGCGAGCGAACTCTTCTTCACTCATTTGTTTTGGTCTAAAAAAATCAAACAAACAAAAAAATACTACGTTTCATATCTTTGTTCATTAATTACTTCATTAAAATACTACTACAAATGAAATAATTATGAGGTACCTAAAGTGGATTGGCAAACATGGGAGTAGGTTTTTTAGAATGAAAAGTCTGCTGGCAAAGCTGGATGTAAAAAGGAAGAGAAGAAGCAAAAAGGCACATTTTCGAGATTCTTTACTATATCCATCTACCTAGGCATAGACCAAAGATTTAGAAAATTTAAAACTATCTCAACTTACCCTCGATCTTTATTTGCATCTATTCTTAGCAAATGTAACCATTGCTCTTTGTATGCAATGTGTAACCACTCATGTGGTATTAAATTGTCACTATATAAAATTTTGACATCTTGATTGTGTAGTAAAAGGTTTTTCATTCTCAGTGCTTTGAAGGGTGCTGCAAATTCTCTACCTTCTTCTGTTGTAAGGAAAGGTTTTGTCCATTTATGATTTCTAAAGTATTCATCAATTTGAAGAGTTTCCTCTTTATTGTGCACATGGACAAACAACCTGAAATACAATTTATGATTATAAAAAAAATCATGCTTGACTAATTTCATTTAGATATTTTCCTTTCACTTACCATACACGTAACATCATGTATATACAAAATTCTGTTTGCATAGCAATTAGATCAGGACTAGCAATTAACTCAGCCATCAAATCAGGTGTAATTTCTTTTAAAAGGGTGGGGTGTAACCATCCATATCCCAAGAGATTAACTTCTAACCATCTTTTTGCTGCAGCTTTTACCACTGGTACACCATATGATACTGCAGCATTATAGTAAGGAACAACTGTTTTTATGTTTGTTGTCTCTACCATAATATCTGTACACTGATCAATTAGTCCTTGCAATTGGAATAATGTAGAAGTAGCCAAAATTGATATGACATCTTTTGGTTCTAAACTGACTTCATCTTGGTAAAAAGAACCAAAGACTGTCAAAAGAGCTGAAAATATATAAAATTAAACACAAGTCTCATTTTAATTTATTATTATAACAATGTTTTCCAATAAAATAAATTACAATCTAATGTGATGTTAGGATCAGCAATCTCTACACTGATAACTGTCTCATTTGCTTCTCTCCACGATCCTGAAAACATACTTGCAAAATATGGACTCTGTAAAAATAAAATACAACTTGTAAATTTGTCATTAAAAAAATATATACTCTTGTATGTGGTATCACTAAAATAATGATTTTACCTGACTGATATAAACTTTATGTAATCTCCATGCTTTCCCTAACATGAGCACAGTTAAGTCACTTCCTTTCTCCTCTTGAAACAATGTTTTATATATGTATTGTGCCGTTGTCAACAATTTTCTCCTAAAAGTTTTAAATGAATCCTTAATCATAATACAAAGAAATCAAATCAGCTTGGAAAAGAATCACCTAACACTACATATATTGTTAGATACAAATTACAAAATTAGGAAGTTATTTCTTCTGATGATGCAAACAGTGTTTAGCACTAGTTGACAATACTTTTCAGTAATCGTAATTTTAATTACAAACATACAATAAAGGAAGTATGTATACTTGAAATTCTCACTTTTTCGGCGTTTGCAATGTGCGATCAATGTAATCCGATTCAGAATCAAAATCATCTTCCTCGATGCACTTTCGTTTACGTCCACGGTACACGGAGTGCACTGCATTGTTTGACATCGACGCAATTTTGCTCGCGTAACTTCCCATTTTCGTCGCTATTTTAATGAGCAAACAAAATTTCAAGTTTGATTACCGATAAAGTCTTAAGAATTCTCGACATTGTTTTTAATGCGGAGAATCGTTTACTGCCAGTGTTCGGTACACAGAAGAATATCTGTATGGGTGTCCCCTGTAGAAACCTACCATGTATGTATGCGCATGCAGGGAATATATGTATAATATGTATCTCTGTATATATACTATGTAAACATGTGACGTAACAAAAGATACAATAGCTTGGACAGGGATACAGTTGTATACCATTTGTGGATAGAATATTGCTCAAGCTCGTCTAATTGGACGCTTCTTTTCGTGCGAGTGAAAGTATCCAATAAGAAACAAATACACTGCCATTGATATACACGTTTTACATTTCATATTCATATCTTTTGAATAAGTTCCACTTTGTAGAATGAAATTGTGCCAAATTTCAATAATAAGCGTTTAAATGTATGCATATAAACCAAAGCACGAAATTCAAATTGATCGTTATAAAATCCTTACAAATAATGCTTCTTACAAAAAATGATTATATGTTAAAAGTGACTTAAAAATCAGACATTAAACAAATTTATATTATAAATCTTGTTACACGGTTTTAGCTATAAATATAACATTTTAATACTTTTGCGTACTGGATGTATATATAATACGTATACGTAATACAAATATGTGTGCGGTTGTTCTAGCTCAAACATGAAACACAGTGTTAGTAATTGACTCATCAATATAACGCTTGAACTGTTTTACTTGCAACGATTTTGCAAGTAAAAATCGGAAGTCTTGCGTTTAAGTACAAAAGAGAAATATGTGTAAAATATTTTTTAAGAAGATTATTATGTAAGTGAAAAGCATTATCATATTATTGCCGCCAAGAATCTCTTGTTAACGAAGTATAACCTTTTTGTCGTTACTATACATAAGTGTGTTCATTATTTGTATAAAGTATTGTACTTTCTTTTGAAACATTTCTGTTAATGATTTACCTAAAATAATTATGTTTAACGACACGAATAGTTCTTCAGATACAAAAATATTTAAGACATGTGTTTCCTTTGATGAATACCAAAAAAAAGTGAATAAGGCAAGCAAAAATAAAATGATTTTAACAGATAAATCTTATATGTCAAAAAGACAGTCTTCTAGAAATAAAAATACAATGCAGTCATCAAATCAGAAAAATAATTTGGAAGTTTTGTGTAAACCGGTTTCTGTAAATATTACAAAATTGTCAGTATCAGAGTTAGATAAATTGTGTAAAACAAATTCACATGAAGCTGAAGCAAAAGATACATTGCTACAGAAAAAAGTGCAGAAACGTAGGATAAAAGGAAAGAAAACATTATACCCAAGAAGGGTTAAGCAAAATCAGACATCTGATTTGAATGATTCTAAAAACAATTACAAATCTCAAAGTATGTCATTTTGTACAAAAACAAGAAGAAATTTAAGTAAGAAGTCGGATATAACAAATTTGTTAAGAAATATGAAACAGCCATATGTAAAATTACATAGAATAGATGAAGTAATTAATAAAATTGCTCAGTCACTTATAAAAGCAGTTTCAAACAAAGGATGTGAAACGAATGTACACACAAACTATGTGGAAAAAACTGAGACTGAATTAAATGCATCTGTATTACAACCATTAAAATTATCATCATTAAATGCCAATGTAGATGAATGTCTACAAAATCATGAATCTCAGGGCTTAGCATCCGACACTTATGTTGATGAGAGTAAATCAATTACAATAATACAGACAAAAAATAATGAAGACGAATCTTCTAATATTGAAGAAAATTCTCAAAATTTTGCTAATAGAGATTGTAAAAGGAAAAATAACATTACATATTTTTCTAACAATGACAGTGATAGTGTTTGTAATAGTAATAGTGATTTATATGAAACAATTTCAAGGAAAAGAAGGAAATTGTATACAAACTTTGAAGAAACAGTAGATGTTTCTGTGGCTACTGATGAATGTAATACTATTGGCACAACATGTATAAATGAAAGCTCAATGTTACAAATGGAATCATCTCAAAATTTACATCACCCTGATAAATTATGTAATACATTAGATGAAAGAAATTTGATTATGAATAAAAATGTGAACACATTACTGCAGTGTTCAAATAAATCAAAGGATGTATCTTTAAAATATGAACCTGATAATGTAGATCAAAATATTCAAGAAGGTAATGCTTTCACTTGTGTGCCTTCAGAATGTAATATAGAAGACAACATTCCTGTAAAAGTAGAAGACGATATTACAATTATAGAAGAATCAATTCTCACATGTACAGACATTGAAGAACAAGTGGAAAAGGCATTTGTTTCAGACAAAGATTTGATACACAAATATAAGTTACTTAAAGAGCTAAAGGTTTTTTTGATAAAACTGGATTCTATAAGAAACTTTACTGGTCATAAGTATTTAGCTACAGAAATTGAACAGTTATCAGAAGCACATATGAATTTGTTAATAAATTCTAATTGTACAAATGCATTGCAACACCCCGTATTACTTAATAGGACGAAAACTCAAGAAAGCAGTAAAGAACCTGTAATTGAAACACCATCTAACTTAGTTTCTTTAGAAGATTCTCCTGTTAAATCTAAAGAGCCTAGTATATGTAATGAAATTAACATTAATGCAGAATATGTTTCAAATTCAAACATTTATGAAACTTTGGATAAAACACAAAATATAAATTTAAATGAAAAGATAGTGCATCAAGAAGGGAGAAGTTCAACAGTTGAGAAAGCTAGACATAATCTTACAAAGCATTTTGAGGACAGCTCTGAAAAAATATCTGAACAAAATACTTCAATTGATCATTCAAAGCAGGAATCAATACCTACCATTGAATCTACAGTACCATCTTCTGTACAAAAATCTACTGACAAAACTTCTATGATAAAATTCACTAATGCAAAGTCTTCCTTAGAGAAAAAATTATCACATAAGATTTCACTCCTTTCAAATCTAAAGGAACATATTTCTACACCAAAGAAAAAGATGTTTATAGATAAAATATTTGAGAAATCTGTAAGTATTACTGGTCTTCGGTTAAACACAAAGGAAGATCCAACAACTTGTTATTCTTCCATAATTTCTCCACCAAAACGTAATAAACCTAAGGATAAGGAAGATAAGAAAAGTAATTTTTATAAATGCATTGTTTGTGATCTTTGCTTTCAAGATTACTCTAAGTTACAATTACATTTAACTACACATACACAAAAGCAAAATAATACTTCAGAAAGTCGATCAAAAGATTTGAACACATCACCTGAAGAAACAGAGCAGATAACATCTAGATCTGATGATAATGAAATTAATAAAGATGGTACATCAACAGACATAATGAATAAAAAGAGGAAAAAGAAAAAATGCAATATGATGCCTGTATGTGATAATTCAAATGAGTGTAGTATGTGTTCAAAAATCTTTACATCACGAAGTGATTTAGCAGCTCATATTTTTTTGCATACTGAGAGTGAATTGCAAAGAGTATATGAGTTGAAGAAACAAAAAATGAAAATAAGCAAAGGAATAGAAAAAGAAGAGTCTAAGCAAGTGAAAGCCGCAAAAACCGTTAAGGTTGGAAATAACACTGTGGATAAGACAGCTCATGTGACTAAAGAGCAAAAATCAGATGGATTGTTAATTGTACAAAATTCTAAAATTCGAGTTACAGACTCAACTGGTTCAGATGAAATTCATTCTAAAGATGTACAGTTGAATCTTCAAACACAAATAGATACAGAGAAATTAAATAAAGAAAATAGTGGTAAAAAATCATTTAAAATATGCAAATGTCACAATACACCAGGAACCAGTGATAATTGCTTGCAGATTGAAATAGTTCTTCTTTGTCACACTTGTAGAATATTGTTTAGAAGTATGAAATGCTTTGAAACTCATTATCGTCTTCCCGAACACGCAACTTGTAATCAAAACCGTTTGAGTAGCGGCCGATCTCCAAACTTATTTTGTACCACTTGCGGTATGATATTTAGTTCAGTTCAAGATGTGCGTCATCATTTAGAGTTACACGCTCGCTTTAAGAGAAATGCTACACTGGATTTCCGATGTAATATTTGTAAAGTTATATTTATTGGAGTTGGAACTCTTTTCTATATTCACTGGTCGAAGCATGTGAAAAATCCTTTCTGGATGGCCAGTGAACAAACATTTCCAAAATCTGCCATAATAAACTCGAGATTAAGGAAAGTGGACAATTATAAACAGAATGTAACAACTCTAAATGATTCTATGCAAGACTATATTCAAGTAGCAGAACACATTTGTCAAAATTGTAAATTGCCTTTCTTAACTGCAGATGATTTGAAAAGTCATGTTTCAAGATGCTTAACGGTTAATTCTGTCGAAGGTACAACTGCTACAGAAGATTCTAATGCCGATATTCAAAATCATCTAACAATAAAAATAATTTGTAGTTTATGTAATAATATTTATACCAAAAAGACACAATTTTACCAGCACATAAGGGACAAGCATAATTTTAATTCTGAACTTCAGTTTGTTTGTAAATCACTTACAAATACTAAAAAGGTATTAATTTGTAATGTTTGTATGGAAACTGCTGAAAATTTGGATACATTTCAGGAACATTGGTTGAAACATTGTGTAACCCATGTGTATTTTACTTGTACACATTGTACAAAAATATATCACAACAGTTTAAATTCTTTTATAGAACATGTTAAAGAACATGAAGTTGAAATGAAAGATTATGTACCATCCTGTACAGTAAGTTACCAGAATACAAAATTTATCTGTAAATATTGTAAGATTGGTTTTGAAAGTTCAGAAAGCTTATGTATTCATAATGTCACTCATAAACTAACTTTTCCAAGTATAAATTCTGAGAGTGATAACATTTCGAATCATGAAAGTTCTGCAACAACGTCAGACGTGAATCATACTTCTAGTTCTACCAAGTCAAAAGAATCAATTATTGAAAGAGAACAGGAGGTATCTTTAACAAAACCAAAAGAATTAACCATTGAAAGACAAAAGGAGGAATCCTTGGCAAAGTCAAAGGAATCAACCATTGAAAGACAACAGGAGAAATCTTTAACAAAGCCAAAAGAATCAACCATTGAAAAACAACAAGAGGAATCCTTGGTAAAGTCAAATGAATCAACCATTGAAAGACAACATAAGGAATCTTTAATAAAGCCAAAAGAATCAACTGCTGAAAGACAACAGGAGGAATCTTTGGGAAAGTCAAAAGAATTAACTACTGAAAGACAACAGGAGGAATCTTTGGCAAAGTCAAAAGAATCAACTGCTGAAAGACAACAGGAGGAATCTTTGGGAAAGTCAAAAGAATCAACCATTGAAAGACAACAGAAGGAATCTTTGGCAAAGTCAAGAGAATCAACTACTGAAAGACAAGAGAAATCATTAACCATACTATCTCAAATGGCAGAAAAGAGGAAGGAAGTTTGTCCAGTGATAAATAATGATAAGGAGGACCTAATCAGAATATTGGAAGGAAGTGATGATTCTGATGTTGAATTAATAATAGATATTATGGAACACCCAGAAGAGGATAATGAATCATACAAAAGAGAAAATGCAGAAAAACCAACTACATCTAATATTAATAATGTACAACCTATTTTACCCAATACAGAAGAAAGAGTGGGCAGAGGAAATTCAAAACAGTCAATAGCAACGAATGTAAAAAATGTACAGAATACCAAAGTTCATGGCACAGTTTCAACTGAGAAGCAAAAAGATTTTGTGACAATAAAAAGTATATTAACATCAAAAGAAAAGAGTCCAGTAAAATTAAGCCGCGGGCTTATAAGAGTAAAAACTCTTGCAGAACTCACAGACTCTATACTCTGTCATGTGTGTGGTGATAGTGTTCATAGTTCTGATAATTTAGTAAAACATCTTGAAAGTCACAATACTTCTAGCCAAGCTGTTAAGGAGTCCAAAACTTCAATGCTTTTAAACCAACCTACAGAAATAATTTCACGAGCGAATAATTCTATGGGATCAACAGCAGTACATAACAGATTAGTACTTCAGACGAATTCAAATACTTCATCCCAAAGGACTTTAACTGCTAAGACGACAAATATGACTCCCCGTGTTACGCTATTAACTCATCAACAATTACAGAAATTACAAAGAGCTGTAAAAGAAAAGCAACCTTCAAATTCGGCACACCATACAAATTTACCACGTAATATTGCTCCAGCTAGTAGATATACACCATCTACTTCTACTGAAAATAATGCGCATATTCCTATAAAAACAATAAGACGTTCTAATGTACCGAATGTCAAGAAATTATATTCAGTTCCTATGAATTACCATAATAGTATATCCTTTTTCAACAAGGAACTATGTCCCAGTGGTGTAGAATATAAATATAAATGTAAATTTTGCGATTTTTGTGCAAACAATGTATCAGAATGTTTACTGCATGAATTACCAGGCACCGAATTTTTTTGTAAGAAGCAGAATTTACGAAATGCAAAATTATATGTCGCAAACGCTAATACAGACCAGAGTAAACAATGCCAACAGACTGCTGTAAATCAACCAAGGATTAATTGTGCATCTCCAACTGTTTATCAGTATCCTTATGTTGCTGCCACTAGTACTAATAATATTAATGAAGTGAATGTGCAAAACCAACCAACAATAGCTCATCAACCAATGGCAGGATCTCCTTCCAATCCTCTTTATTACAAAAATCCTGGAGTCTCCAGCAGTGGAATGTCGATAGTAATCAATCAAACTGCACCTGTTGCACAGAATATACCTGCAATAGGTATTTTGCAGCAACCAGTACAACAGCAAATGTATCGACCTCAATTTTACACTGAATCATTGCCAGTTATGGGCACTCCATATGTGCAGCAACCACAGGTATATTGGATCCTTCCAACAAGTGCACATAATTAATTAAATGAATGCTTTGTACAAATTGTATCCATTAATTATGATACGTTTGCAGAATGTAGTTGGTTTTGTAAGATCAAACGATGTTTACCAAATTGCAAATAATGCAACAAATAGCGGAGAAATTTCTACATCCTATGAAGTTAGACTGCAACAACCACAATTTATTTGTTCGTATTGTCCAAAAACTGTTTCTTTTCTCGACGAGAAACAATTACAAATACATGTAGAAACTTATCACAATTTTAAATGCAATGTTTGTGGCCTTCGTTTATATAATTATATGGACTGGAATAACCACAAGGATTCACATAATTCCATTTGAGAGGCGCATTAATTCTATAATGAATCGTAAAATATTTTGTAAAGAGGAAAAAAGATAAAACATCGACGGACTTTTTTTATCATATTATATTTACTCATGAATATTATATAAGTGCGTTAACATTATGTATCTCGTATATTTAATATATAATTTTTTTCTACTAAGCAATTGTATTAGTATTTGTATTTTGTTTTAGTATTTTGACAAAATAAGTGTATTAGGTTTTTATCATTCTTGACCATTCACGAAAGTCGTTTCATTGATTAGAATTATTTTAGTTGTATTAAGCGATATAATGTAAAACAGGAAAGACTTACGATGTTCACGAATGTAATTAGAAGAGCAGCGTAGATTGCGCGACCTATAATTGTCCTATAACTTATTGAATATGCAAGATATTTTTGTGATTTCAATCATGATTAATTGTTATGATTGATACAAATGCTTGTCTCCTTTATTCGGCACTTTGAGCTTCTTATCTTCTTTACAATGACCGTCGCCTCGATTTTCGTAATCGATAAATCGATATACATTTAACGAAGCAATCGTTATGAGTAAAGATCGAGAAATCGTGTTTACTAACCTAAAACTCCTTCGTCTTATGTTATTCTTTGCACGTAACGATTGCACAGAGGGACGAAATGTTTTTGGTATGTATTACTAATTGTATGTAATTAATTAGAATGTGACATTTTACGTATTTTCACCATTAGCAAATCAGGAGACTTCGATGTCGTAGAAAATCGATAGTCGAAAATCACGCGATTTGGAAGTTCTTTCAGTTAAAAGGGATCAGTGAAAAAGAATTTTCCATCCCGTGATTTTTTTTAAAGAAGACCCGATGCGTGTACAGAAGAAAAACGGAAGTGTTCGAATCCTCTGTTTTGCTCGTGACACGCGTCGGCGCTTCCAGTGTTTTCTTCTTTAATCGTTAGCTTTACAAAAAAAGTTACAAATCTACGAACAAGGGATGAGCTTCACGAAGGAAGGATGTAGATGAATATAATAATAGTGTTTTAACGAGGTACAAAAGAATGGACGACGTTAAAGAAAATTGCAACACATTAATTTCCAGTTTGAATATTTAACGGTAAGTATTATTGACCTGAAATAAAAATGAAAGATACAATCTTTGATTGAAAAGAAACAAAAAATCGCTGATGTCTAATATTCAACAGCAATGGAAAATATCGTTGGTTAGAAACGAAGACAAATGTGGCGTTCAACGAGGCAAAACAGCCAAAATGGAAGGTGCACCAGCGGCAATGTTCCAGATAAACTGCCACGCCGGACATTTACAAATCTGTAAGTTTAGCGTAGATATAAATATTACGGACTAGATATACGATCTTCAGGTGCTTAAATGGCTTCGGTTTTTCGAAGCGTTGAACTTTACATGTGACTTTTGCAACCCCGTTTGAGCGAATTAAGATAAAATAATTAGAATATTTCCAATACATCGATCCTAACAACGGAACAAATTGAATTTTACGAAAAAATTCAAATTCATCTTACAAACGTGTAAATTACTTATCGTCTTTCTTTTTTTTCTCTAAATAGAACCGAGGACGTAAGTGAATAAAAAAAAAAACGATCGTTGAACGATGTGCCCAGCAAGGGTTGTCGACTCGTAGTGTTCTTATCGTAATGAACGGTCCTTAAGTTAAGGCAAGCCTATATAATTGCTCGTGTTATCGGTATCACGAGCGTACGTGTAACGGTACACTTTCATTTATCCTAAAATTTGGCACGTAATTCACGTTTCAACACAATCGTACATTGTGTCGTTGACTTTGAAAGAAAGGAAACGTTTCTTCGTACCTGTTTACAATGCGGTACGTGACGATATATGATATAAAGCTAGACGTTTAATGGGAATTATACTTGAACCTCGAACGGAAATGGAGGAAGACTACTCGCTGTCGCACGGCTATGTATTTAAAGATCTTTTATTCGATTCAAATTATCTTCACTTTTCGGATGGAAATTTTCAAGAATAGAGTGAAATTTTGGAACGATTAAATTACCTACCGACGGTAATAGCGAAGTATTAGAAACGTCGAACGTAAGACTCTCGATAATAGAACGAAGAAATGGAATCTTATTGTAACGGTATTTTAAGTGTGAAAATTAACGGAATCGTTTGTATCCGTGTGAAAAGATCGGAAATACATAGCACAGATAGCGTACTATAAATAATTCTACCTTAACGATTAAGTATCCGTACGAAAGATCGCAATGGCCCTTGGAGGAATCGATGGATACACCTCGAGTCCCTCTTTCGTACGTTTAATACTGATCGCATAATACTGATATAGGTCATCGACGTTTATCTCGCTCTTATCATCTCTCTAATCGTCGCTTTTACAAAAGTACGGAAAAATTCGACGTACAAAATTGATTTCGTTAGAAACGGAGCGGATAGAAGTGCGAAAAAAGATTATGCTGAAAAAAAAAAAAAATTTCAACGATACAAGATCGTTCGACTAGAGTTAATTGTAAAAATGAAAGTGCAGCATAGAACTGTACAAATGAGTATGAAGAACCTCGGTTTGGTGAGATTCTCTCGCGGAATGCTGTTACAGAGGCGATAATGTTTTTTATTTAATCATGTTTGAACTTTGTATTTTGAGTTTGAAAATTAAAAATTTTGAATTAAAATTAAAAATCTTGAATTAAAATTTAAAATTTCGAATTAAAATAAAAAATTTTTAATTTTGAACTCAAATTTAAAGTCTGAAATTCTAAAAATTTTAAAAAATTCACTTTGTATGCTCCCACACTAGATGTCTGACCAAAGGCGGATCTAAACTACTGTGCACAGTCTCCTCCGCGGTAGAATCTCACTTGCGACCGCGAAATCAATCGCTGTAACTACTTGGACACACTCGAGAATCCTTAATTACAAACGATACAAGATGGCAAATGAAAAGGATCTATAAAATCCTTAATGTAAATCTTAAAAATATTCATCAGCAAAGCGAAGTTACTAAATACGCTTCTCTGGTTAACGCAGGTATAAAATACGAACGATTTCATTAAGGATCTACTACTTTGCGAGACGTGTTCAAACGTCGCTCGTCGTCGAACATCTTTACATTTACCGATGACTCCGATGATTAATCACGTCTCCATTATCCTACGTATCTCTTAAGAAAAATAGCACGATACATTTACACGTTATCGTGCAACGGGACCGGAAGCGTGTGTATGGGTTGATCGTTTTTTTTTTCTCTTTTACCTTTTCTTCTGCTTTCCTTTTTTACTCCCTACAAAGAATTACTTTTCTCGCGTAAATGGTATTTGAGCTGTACGGAGGTGTTTTGCACGACTTATCGTATCGATTCTCGCTATCGTTTATCGTCGATTAACATAGAGAGAGAGATAGAGAGATACCTCCTCCGTGTCTTGTGTTTTGTACGTGCATTTATGCACGGCGTGTGTATATTCTCGTAACAACTACAAGTTTACTGTGTGTGTGTGTGTGTTTTCTTTATATATATATGTATATATGTATTAAATCCTACAGACTAGACGTATAATCGGTGGAAAAATATCGTTATTCTTCGTCGTCGGTATATCATAAATTTGCACGTAATACATTGGACGTTCTATATCCAGCAGCTTAACCTTCCCTCACGAGTTACGAAAAAGTAGGTTGAGCGACGGAAACCCTTGACTTTCCCCCAACCCCCACCCCCCACTGACGCGTTTCCAGCTGGAAGAAAAATAACATTCGTCGTTTTTCTCTTTTTTTTTCTTTTTTTTTTTCTTTTTTTTTTTTACGAAGTGGACGATTAATTTTTGAAGCAAACATTTCTGTGTGATCGATATGCGGGGAGTTTAACGTTCGAAGGTGTGGAAATTGGGAAATTGGAGAATTTGTAGATTTAAGGATTTGGTAGGTTGAATGTTTGGAGAGTTGACGATTCGAGGATTTGGGGATTGTGAGACTTGGGAGTTTGAAGATTTGGCGATTGTGAGCTTCGGGGAGAATTCGGTGAGCTTTGTAAATTGGGGAAATTGGAAAACTGGGATTTGAAAAATTTGGAGATTTGAGTATTGGATGATTTTAGGATTTGGGAATTACGGAACTTGGAAGTTTGGAGACTTGGTGATTCGAAGTTACAGGGAATTCGGTGATTTTGGTAAATCAGGAAAATTGGGAAATTGGAAAATTGAGATTTGAAAAATCTGGAGATTTAGGTATCGGGTGATCTTAGTAAATTGAGAAATTGGAAAATTGGAATTTGAAATTTTCGAAGAATTCACGGAAGCTTAGCGATCGAAATCTTGTTAGATGATCTAAAAATTTAGAACTCTAATTAATCAGAAATCTCAGACAAAGAAATTGAACGAAGGAAACTTCAACACGACAAACGCAAAATTTTTCTCCACGCTGGAAACGAAACTAAAATGGCTTCGAGTAGCGAAGCTCACGCTGCTGCCTCTACTTCTCTCACAGCTCCTGCACCTTCCACTCTTCTCTCACTCCCTTTACCTGGACATTAGAAGTGGTAGCCGTGTGCACCAATTCTCACCGTGTTACCAGCTAAATCAACTAATCTACCTCTTAGATAATTATCTAAATGCGTTTTATCGTGTCCCTCCAAGCTTCTCCTCGTTCTTTCCCTTCTTACATTCACGACGAACTGGCTGAAGGTCCCCGATCTCCTTTCTGTCGATCGCTCTATCTACACAAGAGTCACGTGAAAAAGAAAAACAGAAAAGATGACGTCCGCTCGTGATTTGTACGAGGATCGTTCAATTAGCAGAGGCAAAGAGTTCGGGTTCAAAAAGTATCTAAACAAGAACTAGGATACTTTTGAAATCAATTAGGAAATTTAAAAATTTAAAAATTTGAAAGTTTAGAAAGTTAGGAATATAAAAATTTGAAAGTTTAGAAATTTA